TGACCAGATCTCAGATATTTGAGTCCCAACATCATGTCACCAAAGGGACTCCTTTTAGGAAAAGGAAAAACGCATCAATTTCTTGGATATTGTAGGGTCTGGTCAGCATGCTGAGAGATGGTCATTGGCTGGCCGTCTGCATAGACACTTGTAGATACTTTGTTCATACTGGACTATCTGTATATCAGGGGTCCCAGAGAGGCTGATCTCGGTTTCCAGGGCAACCACCTTCTGCCTGATGGCATAAGACCCTGCCCAGTGCTCGGATAACTTGTTTTGTCCGCAGGGAACAACTTCCATCACCGAGTTCCTTGTTGAATTCACAAGTCCTTAGAACAAAACACAACTGCATGAAGTGTTTCCTCTGCCCGGCAGCACTCTGGGTGTTGAGGAAACACCCACAAATAAGACACTGGGTTTGAACCCACACTGGAGCACCCCCGCTGTCCTCCCATGGAAAGTCTCCATCCCCCAAAGCTGAGGGACTGTGTGTAGACCGTGAGACCGCATTCTGTTTGGGGCCCCGGAGCGGCCGGACAGCGAAGCTACCGGTGTGTCGTCCTCGGTGTGTGTGTGTGACTGACGGGCTTTGAGCTGCAGAGGCGAGGTGGTGACCGGTGCCAGCAGGCAAAGCCACAGCTCAGACGTCAACAACGACGTCTAGGAAGGCCCCAGAACTGGCCAGTTCACGCTCTCAGAACCCTGGACGAGACTGAGAGAAGTGTGTTCCGTAAAGATCACGTAACCACGGAGATCTGCTTGGGGGCCCCGCCCTGGGCCTCGGGCAAACCTGGATCCGAAAGGCAGTGCTGGCTTCCCGACTCCTCCACGTGTGCCCCTCAGCGCTCCGCTGTTGCTCAGCTTCGTCCTGGGTTCCGTGGCCTCTAAGCACGGGGGTATTTCTTGTATGGTCTCTCAGTTCACAGGAAGCTGGGGTGTCCCAGAATAACTGTCCCCCCCACAGCGCCTGTGTCTTCCCTTTCGGTCATCTTCCAGGCCAGGGCGTGTGAGTAGAGCGACCAGACCGGATTCTGAGGCCTTACTGACGGACAAGGGACCCGACCTCGTGAGCTCTCCCAAGTCCTGGGCGACAGTGTGAAGCTGCCCGGGCGGAGTTCTCACTGCGGCTCCGGCCTGCACGCGAAGTGGGCAGAATCAGTGTCTGTGCCAGACGGGGAAACTGAGCTCAGGGAAGAAAAGCGGTTTGCCAAAAGCAGCTAATAAATTACATTTCTTTGGCCCAAAGTGCACGTTCTCCCCAGTCTTCTGGTCCCCCAGAGCACCCCAGGTATGAGCTTGAGCCTTGACATGGTCCGTTCGCGTCTTGTTCCCTCGTCATTCCCATTTCCCACTCAGACGGCTCTCCGCTGCTCGGCCTCAAAGCGCAGGGAGTTTGGAGAGTTGGTTTCAAAGCCTCTTGTTTTGGGAATAAAAGGAGAAGTATGGCCCCATGGGGCTTCTAAGTGGGGTCAGGACACCTACTGGCCCAGCCCAGGCCGACCTCGCGAGAGGACCCCGGCAGGGAGAGCTGCTTGGATTCGCTGGGAGGGGGCTGCCTGCAGGCGGGGGTTCCAGGAGGCACTCAGCCCTGAGCGCGGCGACAGGAGTCTGGTCTGCCCGAAGCCTTGAGCCTTCTGGGAAAGAACAGTGTGGAACAACCCCAGGAGGTGTTAGGAAGAGGCTCAGCCGGCTCCAGAGGAGGCTGCAGGGCTCACGCCCTCGTGTCCCCCTGCAGTACCCTCAGGTCTTGGTGCCGCTGTTTGGGTGACTTGGGCTGAAGGCTCATCCAGTGCTGAGGGTGCCGGCTGAGGGCTGATGGGACAGAGGACGACAGCACGTCTGTCAGTCCAGTTACAGTGGAAAGCAGTGTCGTCAGCTGACCGCTTCACCAACAGGACAGGATCCGGGAGACTGCGGCCCGCTGGGGTGCGGGCCCTGCGGCTGCCTGCCGGACGGTCTGCCCCAGCTGTGGGTGCAGCTGCGTCCTCCAGGCCTGGGCTCAGGGCCGTCGTATATGCGGGTCTGCAGCCCGGGCTGAAGAGCCCTCAGGTGCTCTCTGGATGCCGGGCCGTGGCGAAAACAGTCTGTAGGGCCCTGGTTCAGTCACATGAGCTAATAAATTCAAGGGCAGGCGGGAGGAGCGGAAGTGAGTGTTTCCCGAGAGTCGCTTGACCCACCGAGGTGCAGTGAAGGAGGGGTAAGAGGACGACAGGCCCAGCCAGCTGCTGGAGGGGGAGGGCGAGGGGGAGGGGCGGAGGGCCTGAGCCCGGTGGGCAGATGCCAGGTGTGTCCAGCGGGTACCAGGAGGCCGGGAGGGAGGTTCAGCAGCACGGGGTGCACCTCCTTGCACCTGTGGACCGAAAGGAGCGGCTGGCGGCGTGGACTCAGAGGTCTTGTGAGTGGAGGCCTGCGCTGGGGGTGCTGGGGTGGAGCGGGGCTGAGGACGGGCAGTGTGTGTCAGGGTCGGACTGCCTAGCTACACGTGACAGTAGGAAGGAGCAGTCCAAGGTGGCGGTTCTGCCGAAGCCCTGAGGAAGCCCAGGTGGACCAGCAGAGTCTTCGGTGGGAGAGGAGCTTGGCCCCTGGGTAATGTGGGGTGCTTTGGCAGAACAGGGAAGCCAGGTGGGGTGGAACGAGGGGCCGGAGAATGACTGACCTGTGACCAAGGCTGAGGTGGAGCCGTCTGGAGAGACACGGGGCAGCGAGGCAGGTGCAGGGACAGCAAGCTGGTGCATGTGACAGAGGCCGGGGTGCGCCACAGAGAAGGGGGACAGGGGAGGCTGTGCCATGAGGCGGCTGCTGCAGGGCCCCTGAGCCAGCTGGATGGGCCACAGCAGAGACTGCCTCCCTGTCCCCTGGCGGCTGGGCCCTGGGACGGCACATCTGGGGCGGGCGTGTCCCTTTGCTCCCACCTCTCTGCTGGGAGGACATCCGTCTTCCCACAGCCCGAGACGCACCTCTTCCGTCAGTTCCCGTCAACCCCTGACTTCCGGAAGGCTGGGCTGTCAACCCTTCCCCTGGTCTCCGGGCCCCAGCAAACTTGCCCGACTCGGCAATGGTATTGGGGACCAGAGGCGTCCCCGTGACCTTCCGGAGTGGAGGAGGCAGACCGCAAGCAGGGCCGTGAGTGATGGCACCCCTCTTGAAAGTTTGACCGTGAAGACGAGGGGTGCTGGCTGGGGGTGCGTGGGGGGCAGAAGTTATTACTTGTAAGAGTATCAATGTGTTGCGTGGGTGTTGTCTGAGCATCCCCAAAACGAGACAGAGTGGCAGCAGGGAGTGTGAAGACATTGCGACGGGGGCGTGTGGAGAGCAAGGTCCTCGCTCTGTGGGAGCAGATGGGTGAGTCTCTGTCCAGTTGATTTGTCACGGGCAGCGGGAACGCACCAGGTTAGACCGGCGGGGTCAGACCAGACCTGGGTTCAGCGACCTCGGTACTTGAGTTCTGGCTAGGAAGGCATTCAGAGCCAAGACTCCCACCATAAGAGAACATGTACTTGGAAAACCACAGAGGAAGAAGAAGTAATTTGTAAAAGAAAAGGGCTTGGGAAACAAGTTATAGAGGTAAAGGAAGGGCCCTTGGAGCTTGGAGTGAGGAAGGTAATGGTGATGTGCCTGGGGGGAGGGGGGCACTGGGTCCTCCATCCCAAGGGTTCGAAGGGTGGACATTTGATTGGAGGTCCCAGGGGAAGATCTCAATAGAACATTCAGCAGCTTCCCAGGTGTGTCCTTTCAGAGCTGGGTCTCCATTGGTAGGTTGATTGGCTCCAGGGCGGGGGAGGGGCTCACTATCCAATGCAGCTGGTCCTGAGGCAGCCCTGGGGTCGCCGTCTGGTTCTGCTGCTTTTCTGGGCCTGGAGCTGAAATACAACTGAGGCCTAGAGACTGTCTCCAGGGAGGGAAGGTTGGGGGTCTGGATCGCAGGACCAGAGCATGCTAGGGGAGGAAAGGTCACCCGGGGTCCCACCCTTTGCTAGTCACGGGGCTTCCCTCTGGTGACCTGTACCTGGTGACCTGCACCTGGCCCATCCCCCTTGCTCTGCCATGTGTAACTGCCCACCACAGGTGTTCTGAAACGGGCGTTCCGTTTAAAGTAGTCTGGTTGTCCTCCTACGAGTAATCTGACTTCTGACTTCAATGCCACTGAATTTTGAAGTCTGCTGTTCATCCGCATCGATGGCAGGCTCAGAACGTCTTTGTACGTGGTCCCCCCTGTACAGATGGAGCAGGGCATGACTCCCGGGGTCCCCCTCAAGGTGATGACGTGTTTGCTGTGACTGAGGGGTGTATGTGGAGTCCACCACACATACATCGATCTTAAATTCTAAGGGGAAAATGCCCGGTACTTGATAATAGCCAACTCTCAGTGCTTCTGAAGGCAGAGATGCAAGTGGGTGTTAAAGCTGACAGTTACGAGGACGCGTCACACCTGAAGGCAGTGTTAAACAGCATGCCCTTCCCCTGGCTCACGCACGCCGCGGTGCATTTCCAGTCGCCTAGCTCCCACGTCCCTGTGACTATTACTTGGGTTTTGGTGGTTGCGTTTCATGTGTGCCCCACACTCCACAGCCCCTGGCCCGCTGCGGGTGTGCTGGGGGAGCAGGCTCACGTGTGAGCGCGGCGCCCCCTGGCGGGGGTGGGTGTGTGCCGGACCCACTGGGCGCACCTGGCCCGCTGCGGATGGGCTGGGGAGCAGGCTCACGTGTGAGCGCAGCGCCCCCTGGTGGCGGGGGGTGTGTGCCGGACCCACTGGGCGCACCTGGCCCGCTGCGGGTGTGCTGGGGGAGCAGGCTCACGTGTGAGCGCAGCGCCCCCTGGCGGGGGGATGGTGCCTGACCCACTGGGCGCACCTGGCCCGCTGCGGGTGTGCTGGGGGAGCAGGCTCACATGTGAGCGCCACGCCTCCTTGCGGGTGGGGGGGAGGGGGGACTCGAGGCATGTCCAGCCGCGCTTGGCACTGGATGCTAGCGTTTCTGCATGTTCTTCCTTTGTGCCCACAGAGCTGTGACCTGGACCAGCAGAGCATCGTCCACGTTGTGCTGAGACCTCGGAGAGAAGGCCTAGAAATGCCCACCACCCTTGGGGACCGTCCCCGGGGCGCTGCGGGGGCCTCTGAGAGGGACCCCGAGAGCTTAACTCGCGTGGACTTCAGCAGCTCGGTCCTGCCGACCGACTCGGTGGGCCTGGCGGTCATTCTGCAGGACGGCACAGAGAAGGCGGGCCCGCCAGCAGGAAGGCCAGGTAATCACAGGGGCTCCGCTTGTGGCCAGCAAAGCGCGTCACGCGGTCAGTCTCCGCCGAGAAGGGCCCTCCGTGTCTCTGCAGCTCCCCGTACTTTCTAAGTCACAGGAGGAGACAGCGCCAGGAGCACAGTGTTTGGATGTAAATGTTGAGGCGACGCATTTAATAAGCACAACGAGAAAAGGTTTTCACGCCGAGGATGAACATAGGGATGGGAAAGGTGTCAGGACCATGATGATGGTATTAATTTTCTTTTTGAGGAGCCAGGGGTGGTGGAGACACGTGATGCTTTGTGTTAGGGTCAGAATATATGACCAAAGTGCACAGGTACCCCTCTCTCGCCTTCTGTTTCTTACTCAGTTAAAATACATTTTGGGGGGTGATGTTTCGGATGCTGGAGAGAAGTTTTACAAAGCAGAAAGAGAACTTGAGAGGTAGGTCCAGTCACCTGCAGGTCCTGAGCCAGCATATCACAGTGTCGGCAGTGTCCTCTGTGTGAAGGGTCCTTCCCTCTCCCTGCGCCACAGCCCGTGTGACAACGTCGTCCTAGGCAAGGATGGCGGCCCTCTGTCATCCCGACGAGACCCGTGTTTCCTTCAGGCTTCATTCTTCACAGCGAATGGTCAGAGTAGAGCAGGACTACGTTTGACTGCCAGAGAACTCAGCCGTGCCGGTGACCCTGCCCAGTGGACGCTGGTTTCTCTCCACGTACAGGAGGCGGAGACACGGGCCGCCGCGGGCTCGCGTGTCGGCGAGTTCTGGGACCAGCAAGATGGAGACCTAAAATAGTACGACATTTCTTCTGCCAAATTCACTAAATTCAAAAATCGCAGGTGCAACTGCCAAACAACAACAAGAAGGAGACACTGGTTTCCAGGGACGGGTGAAACGTAGGAGCAACACAGCTGTCTCCAGGTGGAGGGAGGAGGAACCCAGGGTCCCAGGCACCGGCTGACGTCCGGGTCCTCCGGGGGCTGTGGAGGGAGGAGGCTGCCTTCACGTGTCCTGGGCACCCAGGGGACTGAAAGTACATTGGAGAAATGGGAAAACCACGTAAGAAACGGGGAAATGTGGCAAATCTAAACCTCCGCAGTGCCTGTGTGATCCAGAACGGGAGGTGAATGTAAGCACGGGACCCGGCCTGGCGGGGCGTCTGCTCATCAAGCAGAACAGCAGCCTGGACGCACCCAGAGAGCCCAGGTGGGTGGCATCAAGGCCCAGGGACAAGCCCTACCGAAAGGGCATGAGTGGTTAACGTTCTAGGTCAAACAGGGTATGTCCTGAGTGGATAAACCGGAAGGTACGTTTCCCCCAAACTTGAGAAAATCAAGTGGCATGTGGAAACAATATGCAACAAATATGTTTTATGTTCATTAAAGCATAATAGAAAAATAATTGAAACCTAAAACAGACGTAATAGAAAAAGGTAGCTATTGAATAGAATGTGATTGTGACCACTGGAATTTAAGACTCCTCAGTGGGTGCAGTAAAATGCCAAGTAGGTGGTGCCGCGGACAGAAGGGCGGTGGATGCAGCCCCCAGGTGACTGGCTGCCATGTGACACCGGTCCAGATGTACAGGGAGTTTTAAGACATGAGGAACTTGGAACAAGATGGCCAAGCTGGTGTCTGGCAGGAAACCTTTCTGTCTGGTGCAGGCGAGAGAGCAGAGGGGGGGAGATTCCTCAGGGAAGGGCTGAGAGCCTTTTGGGACGCGTCCTCGGATCCGAGGGTGCGCAAGGCCAGGCACGACCAGCCAGAGGCACGCAGTCGGCCTTGCTCAAGTTAAAGATCAACAAGCTCACTTCACAGAGGAAATGAAACACCAGGAAAAAGAAGATCTAACAACCAGACGAAGAAACGAGGTTGCCTGGAACGGAACAATAATTTGCATGACTCGTAACAGGAACAATAGAAGGAAAGGGATGGTGTGATATCAAACACTGTGGGGACACCTGTGAGCTTTGAATTCTGTACCCAGCACACCTGGCAAAGATATGGGAGAGGAAAAGGAAGATACTTGTAGACAAACACAGAGTATTTCCACTCAATGAAAAAGCACTGTTAAAGTGTTTGAAACAGGGAAGAATGAGTTTGAACTCAGGCTGAAGGAGAGAGAAGCAAGCGTTGGTTACTTTGATGGGTACAAAAACAAGGGAAACCAAAGTACGTGATAAAATAACATTTAAGAGAAAACAATGATCAGTTAACATGGAAATATGTTCGAAGTCTCACTAATGATTATAGAAACTAATATTAAAACAACAAAATCATAGTGTTGCACCCTTTTCCGACGGCCGAACTAAAAGTCCGACAATGCCGAGTGTGGGTGAGGATGCGAGTGGCATGAGGCAGCCACTGCAGAGGACATTTGTAACTTCACAGTAACAGTGACATTCAAGGTACGCATATTCAGTACTCAGGGTGCACAGGGAGACATGTATATAGGTCAGCATAATAGGACTATTTAGTCTGGGAAAATGTAGACACAACAGGTGTCTTTAAATGGGGAAATGGATAAAAATATCAGAGTTTATTTAATCAGACTATTTTATTAAAATAATCAGTATTGTAATGGGTTATGATAAATCTGTGATAATTCTATATTTAAAACAAATGACCTGGCCCTGGCTGGTTAGAGTGTCGTCCCATGCACTGAAGGGTCTCAGGTTCGGTTCCCAGTCAGAGCACCTACCCAGATTGCATGTTTGATGCTCGGTTTGTGTGTGTAAGGGAGACAACCCATCGATGTTTCTCTCTTACATTCATGTTTCTCTCTCTCTCTCTTTCTTTATACCTTCCTCTCTTTCTAAAATCAATACAAACGTATCCTCCAGTGAGGATTAAAAAAAAAAAAATCAAATAACTTGGATCTATCAACATGAATTAATTTATAAATCATAGTGTCAAGTTAAAAATAATGGTTGTACATTCTAAAGGAATATTCAGGAACATATAGTTTATTGTATCTATTTTTTATGAATAGGGTAATCATATATTTTATCTAAATGGGATTTTTGAAAATTAAAGATTGCATTAAAATATAATTAAATCATATGCTTGCATACCTTTGAAATATTTATTTATTGATCAACAAAAGCATGTATTATGTTAGTAGAGGTATAAACTAATTTTTAATAATTGTCAAAAATAATTTTTTCAGTTAAAGAAAAGCATATCTGTGTTTTTTAAAACAAAATCAGGTCTTTATATTCATTGTTTGAGTGTTAATAATACTGGCAGAATCATTATGCTCAGGGCATATTAACATTCTAACGCTTCCTTATGGGCCCAACTCCACTACCTTATCAATGGTATTTATCAGATTTAAATAATATATAATCATATGATGTTATTTTATTATAATATTGCCTTAGTCTTTTTCAGAGTTTTATTTTAAAAGTAATCCATTTGGAATTATTGACACTGTCAGTGGCTCGCTCTCTAGGTCACGATACTTTTCGTTAAGAAAATATTGTCTCTACGTAGGGATTGAGATACCTGTAGGATCTCAGGAAGTTCTGCTAATTGTCTGATATTCTCTGTATATTTCTAAGTGAAATGTGTCATCATTTCAGCCCAGACAGTGGATTGAGTGAACTCACACATTTACACGGTGTTGGGAAGGACCACACCAGCATGGCCAGAGCCTTGGCGTCCCTGCGTGCTCGGGACAAGACTGCTCAGCTTTTACTTCCCACACACATCTCAGCCACACCCGACCTCTGTCCGCCTGTTCCTCCTTCACCACGGACTGGGGGCCTGTTCCCCGTGTGTTTTCAGGGCCAGAGAGGGCGGGGCATCACTTGCAGGTGCACCAGGCGGCCAGCAGGGGCAGCATCCTCGTGTGTGCCTCTGCACCCCAGCCCCAGCCCTGAGCCGTCCTGTCCTCCCTCTGTGCAGCGGGCCCTGCTACTTGTGCACGTCTGAGGAGGCCCAGGATGAGAGGGCTCCCAGTTCAGCTTTGAGACCCAAGTCTGCGTAAACTGAAAACTAACGGATAGCAGGAGCCATCCCTTAACCTTCGGAACAGAAAGTATCACCTCCTTTTCAGAACTGGCTGCCTCTTCTCACTTTCTGTTTTGTATTCTAGTGTCCCCTGCATATACGCCGTGTCACTGAGGACAGCATACTTGTCCAGTTTACTGTGTTTTCCCTAAAATCTCCTAGAAAAGTGGTGATAAATGTTTACCAACTTAAAACTGTAAATGTAGCAAAGCCATGTATCGGACTTTCCGTGTATTTAACTGTTGGAACAAATGCTTTGTTTAAAAGTCTGCAGAGAAAACGAGACTTTACCTTTTAAAATGCCTTCAGGGTCGGAATGAGTGTAATACTTTCAGTGCGATAATGAGGGACGGCTGTGGGCAAACACCCTGCTGGTATGACTACTCTCCTTTGACAAACAGGAGCGTCTGGCGTTCCTAGAGCAGGGAACCACAGGCCCGCGTGGCAGAATTACCTGCGGTGCCCACCCACGCACATTGCGGGAAGGCAGTCGGATTCCGTGGGCCCAGGATGGAGGCTCAGACCAGTGCCGACCACACTCTCAGAAACCCTGCCCTACAACAGAGGGTCCTCACCTCACAGGCGCGGTCCTGCCGCGGGTCCCCAGCCGGGGGCAGGGCGGGACATGAGCAAGTGAGTCTGTCCCCTGATGCCTGCGCAGCCGTGTTCCCCACTTCGACATGTGTGCATCTTCCACACACTCCATCTGGGGGAAGATCCTGGGTTGCAAAGTGTTTGAGAACCTCTGCCTCAAAGAAAGAGTTTAAGGGGAAAAAGCCCACTTTCTGTGTGTGTTTCCAGGGTGTAACTTGACGGGGAGGACTCAGTGGCGGCGGAAGGGGGGGCTCTGAAGTGTGAATGGGCGAGAAGAAGGGCAGCTGGACAGTCAGAACCTCTAAACCCGAGGGGTGTCTTTGGGGTGGTTACAGACGGAGAAGATCATGGCCAACATGAGAGTCAGTGTTGTGGTCGGCGTGAGCAGCCAGGC